GGTCTAGCGGATGCGCCAATTTCTAAACAAACCGAGCAAATTGGCTGGCCCACTGCACCAGTAGGACCCAGGAGACTCGGCGCAGGAAAAGAGGCTGCCGTCTGGCTCAACGGTCCGAAGATGAGTGAGCAGGAGCGTGAGTTGAGTAAGCAAGGTCTGTCCTCACCGATTTGCCCGTAGGCCATGCTGATGAGCCGTTCGTTGACCAGTTTGTCCGTCCTGGGGTTGCGGGGCTGTCTCTTCATGATGTCGCTCTCTGCTGCCTCGTACGCCAGGGAAATGGCCGGGACCTGTGAAGCGTGTGATTTGTCGATGACGAGAAAACAGAACACGCTCCGGGGGGCAGGAAGTGAAAGCTCACAGTGCTTTTTCATGAGCTCAGTCTCATGTCTCATGTTTTGATATAGGCTCCTGTACAAATCTTAGTAATCACTAAAAAAAAATCACTATGGTAAAAAATGGGGACGAATTCTCATGCAGGCGTAGGGGTAATTGTAATTTCATAGTATTGGCTTTAAAAACACTCACAGTTCTAAAATTTGAAATATTCTGATCACTACACACGTAGTGCCCAATCTGTACGTACAAGTCCACTAGCTCGTTTCAGTAAAGCATTAATAAAGTGTAATTTTTTTTCTGGACAACAAACATCTTAAGTAGACTTCGAATGAACATCCTCCCACGTTGGAGTGAATTGGTGAGTTGGTGCGCCCGGAAGTGGAACTTGAGTATTAATATACCCATAATGCCTCAGTGCACTGGCAGGCAAGTATAATCTCTCCCTTAATCAAAAGGTTAAAACTTGAAAAGTAGGCTTAGATTAACCTTAATCAGAATTTTGGTTGGACAATTAAAGGAAGAGTATTATGGTACATCTGCCCTGCACTCCTGTTTCGGAAAAGGAATCCCATGTTAAGAGGTGTAGGGGAGAATATGTACAGTTGTGCAATGTTGCCTCATACCCACCATGTCAGTGCCCAGGTCAATGCACAGGATAGTGACGGTGCCCAGGGGCAAGGGGATGTTGGCGATGATGAAGAGCAGGAAGGGAGTGATCTCTGGGATGTTGCTGGTCAGAGTGTAGGCAATGGACTTCTTCAGGTTGTCAAAAATCAGGCGACCTGTGTTGAGCCACAGTAATGTCAGTACCTGCTTTCTCGTTTCTGGAGTTGGACCAGCGGGTGTGAACGTCACTTTTATGAGGGACTACAAACTGTCGACGAAATGTCTTTTGAATCTGGCTGCATAATACTTCAAAATTCAAAAGGTCAATCAATCTTGGAAAATGTCGCCCTCTTGTGAAAAGAAAATGAATCGCATGGTACAGTAAGTACGCGAACTGAGGAAAATTGCTTTATGTTAAAATTTATGTTAAAATCATTTCTCTCTCTCTTTGCAAAACCCGGAAAAAGTGCGCAGGGTAAAAATGGGAAAATGGGAATGCCAGAAGGGTTAAGTAATGATTTTACAATTTTGCTGAAGCAGGAGTGTCTTTGCCTTCGGTGATCTGAATTCAAGGGTGCATTGTGGACATCTGGGAGACGGACTCCGAGATGCCTTCGCATACCTTCCTCCACTCCGGTGACGATGGAGGCGAAGTTGTCATCGAGGAGGATCATGTCGGCGGCCTGCTTGGAGACGTCCGACCCGGCGATGCCCATGGCCACCCCGATGTCGGCCTTCTTCAGGGCTGGGGAGTCGTT